TAGTTCGGTCAACTACCAGTCAACGCCTCTCTCGGCTCTCTAGCTGTCAAGCATTGTCTCTCATCTTCCTCTGTCAAAGGTTAACCAGCCGTCGATCCACCTATCTTCCTTTCATCTCCCTCTTCCAGCTTGGCTCTACCTGCCACCCACCTCCCTCTGTGTCATGTGCCTAGCACCCTGCTGATGCATCATCTAGCTAGCTATCCTCGTGGGCACATGGGCTCACGGCCGTGGCGCCCGCTGGGTCCACGCACTCAAGAAGGCGTGTCCGTGGCACTGAGCCTGGACTGACCGAAGGAAGACCTCTTCCATGGTGGTGACGGAGGCCCCGAAGCTCGCGATGCCCAGCTCCTTCTGCTGCTTCTCCAGCTTCGTGAAGAGCGCTTCAAACCTGCACGAAGAAGACGGGGCCGTCAGCCCCTTGGCAGGACCCCCTCCATCATTGTTCCCCAGCCACTGTGCAAAGGAGAGCAGATGCCCCTTGGAGCCCATGTGGTTTTGGAACAGGGGCTTCCATGGCTTAGGCTGCATCCCACCTGCTGCCTTGTGAGCACACTGGCTTCCCAGAGAGTCTCCTCTTACCACTATGGCATGCACTTAGAGGATATAATGAAGCAAAGGGAGAGGGAGCAGGTGGGTGGAGACTCGACCTCAGGGCAGAGCAGCACTTTCTAAGCATAAGACAGAAGAATTCCCAAAGGAAAAAAGACCAAGCTTCGTGGTCGGCTAGAGACCGGTGGAACCCCTAGGCCATGCCCGGAGTCACCCTTCAGACCCAGAATTGAGCTCACCTCCGTGGCTCACCTTTCAGCCCAAGGACAGACAGGCCTGTAAGGGAACAATCCCACCAGGCAGGTGGGCCAGCCTTTGGAAAACCGACCCTGGGACAGCAAAAGGATGGCCTTCCCCTGGGAGGACCCTCAGGAGGCAGGAGGGAGGACAGCGGGGTATGTCATGGACGTGTGTGTGCGTACAGGAGGGTGGAACTCAGGTGTGCTGTAAACCTTCATTCAAATAGCAGTAAAACACGCTGGCCTCCGAGCTGCCAGCCGGCCTAGGGGTAGAACAGACACCCTCCTCACTGCGGGGCATCCAGGCTGCGAGGGCACCGGAGGGGACGGGAGGGAGGTTTTAGGTGGGACTGTTCATCAGCAGTCTGGGGGAACAGACCGGTACGAGACACAGTGCTGGTGTGGAACTGTGCACCCACCTGCTGTGTCTGCCCTCTCTCCACGATGCTGGTGACTGTGCCCTCCTCGTGGGGGGCATCAGGAGTGATCAGTGCTAGCAGGTGATGTCAGAGAGCAGAGGAAGGCTTTCTCTGAGCCGAACCTGCGGTCCTCCCTCTCGGCGGCCCCTGAGGTGCCCTCTGCGGGCCGTACCTGTGTGTGCTCTCTTTGGGCAGGATGAAGGAGAGCTCAGCCCCGGCGTTGCTCTCCAGGGTGGCGCTGGGGACGTGCTGGTGGACCAGGCGGGCGATGGCCTCGGGTTTGCAGTGGGGCTCCTTGACGAGGGTCATGTGGTAGCCTGCGCCTGGGACCCGAGGCAGCCCTGTCAGCCGCTAGCTCAGCCGGAGCGGGCTTCTGCGCAGGTGGATGGTGCCCTGCTCGGACCTCGGTCCCTGTCCCTGTCCCCACTCCCCAGCTGAGGTGAGACGCCGGTACAGCTGGGTGGTGGGCACCACAGTGTGTCTGGGATGGGGGGCCCTGGGTTCCTAAGGAGCAGGCCTGCGTGCCGGGGTGACCCAGGTGCTGTGTGGGGATTCCCCTGGTCCCCGAGGAGTGACAGGCCGGTCAGCACTGTGTGAGCACAGGCTGTGACGCTGGGGGGCTGGCAGCCGGAGGGGAGACTGCGGCCTTGCTGAGCACCGCTCTGCGGCTTCTTGACACCGGCGTCCACGAAGTGGGGGCGACTATAAAGCCAAAGCCACCTCCCTCGAGTCGATTCTGACTCACAGTAACCCTGCAGGACAGAGTAGAACTGCCCCTCTGGGTTCCTGAGACAGTCACTCTGCACCAGAGCAGACAGACTCATCTTTCTCCTGCCGAGAGGCCAGGGGTTTTGAACCGCTGACCTGGTGGGTGGCCCAACAAGTCACCTACTGTGCCCCAGGGCTCCCTGGGCAATGACAGCATGAGGTGCCGATGGTGCAGGGTCCTCGAAGCTGGTGCAATAAAGGGGCTGCTGGTGGTGGCACGGACCATGGCAGCTTTCCTCACAACCCTCGCTGCCCCGCTTCCACATCTGCCCTCCCCCTCTCCTCTTCCCACCGTCCTGAGACAGGGCTGGCAGCGCAGGGCGGGGCGGACTGCATGGAGGCGGAAACGTGGCCTGGCCCTGGCTTTCAGTCTTGAGGTACAAGTACTGCTTCTCGATCCCCCAATCTCCTTTCCCGTCTCCTGCTACAGGAACAGGCTCTGGCCACCTGGGGCCTGATGGCTCTGGGCTCAGGCAGCCATGGGAGTGCAGGCCAGTGCGGCCAGGAGAGCCGGGGCTGTGTCGCTGATGCTGCTCACCACTGTGCCGGCTCGGGGCTCCCCAGTCTCTCCCCCCAGTGGACAAGCACCTGGCCGCTCTGAGTCTCCACAGACAACGGTGGGTGCTCTGGCCATGGCTGCCCAAATCCTAGCCAAGACGGACCCTGCTCTCACGGGCCCTCTGCCTGGCTCCAGGCTTCGCAGACTCCACAGGGAGGCTCCATGCCCACAAACTCAAGCCACTGCTGTCTATCCACTCTGCCTCACAGTGACCTGGCAGAAGGCCTGTGGGTTTCCGAGATGGGCACTCTTGGGGAGGAGAAACCCGCGTCTTTCCCCCACCGATCGGCTGGTGGTTTCAATCTGCGGACCATAGGGTATGCCACCCCACGTGCAGGGCTCCCGGACGCTCACCGTACTTCTGCTTGAGGAACAGCGAGGACCCGCAGCACTGCAGCTCCCCCTGTGCCATGATGGCGATGCGGTCCCCCAGCAGGTCGGCCTCGTCCATGAAGTGAGTGGTCAGCAGGATCGTGCGGTCACTCTTCTGCTGCTGGAGCAGGTCCCAGATGGCCCTCCGGGAGATGGCATCCATGCCCGAGGTGGGTTCGTCCAGCATCAGCACCTGAGGGCATAGGGCGGCCCCAGGAGGGGGCGGGGTCACGTGGGGCAGCCAGCCCCCACAGCCCTCAGCTAGACCACCCCCCGCAGGGTCTCCCCCCCACGGTGCCCGGGGGCTGCACCTTGGAGCCTCCAATGAGGGCGATACCAATGGACAGCTTGCGCTTCATGCCCCCACTGAGGAACTTGCTGGGGGCGTCCTGCTTGTCCTCCAGGTCCAGGATGCGCAGCATCCGCCTGACCTCCTCCCAGCACTTGTGCAGCGACAGGCCTTTCAGCTGCAATGGGGGCCACAGTGGTCAGGGGGCTCCGACTGGAGGCTGGCCCCAACATGTACAAGACACCCACCTGCCCAGAGAGACCCAGAAACCTACAGCCTCCAGAGTGGGATTGACAGAGAGGATTGTGTGCTGAACCAGGTCCACATGAGACCAAGAAGCCCTGGTGGCCACAAGGTCAGCAGTTCAGACCCACTGACTGCTCCGCAGGAGAAAGACGAAGCAGTCTGCTGTGGCAAGACGCCCTCTGGGTCAGTACTACACTCGCCTACTCGGCAGCAGCGGGCTAGACATCCCAAACCAAAGCCCCTGCCTCCGCCATGTCAGCCCCGTGCAGAGACTCGTGCAGCACAGGTTCCCAAACGTAGGAGCCTGCTGCTGCCCTCTTTTCCGGGGAAAAATGTAAAAAATGACTTGGTTTCTCCCCACCCACGCCCGCCCCACAATGAAAACTAGTACAGCCCATCACTCAGGATAAAGTGTAGGTATCCACCATGGCTGTCGACTCCTGTAAAGAGTGACCGTCTCAGAAACTTCCAGGGGCAGTTCTACGCTGTCCTATTGGGCAGCTTCGAGTCCGCGAAGACTTCGTGGCAGTAAGTTTGGTTTACCTGCTTCTGCAGGTGCCCTGGACCGTTCCAGCACTGTCCCCCAGGGGGCGATATCCCCCACTTTGGAAATGCTGCTGTAAAGGATTTGCAGGACTGAATCTTAGGGGCTCAGCCAGCCTCACCTTTCTGTATGGGAGCAGCTGGAGGGATTTGTGTTCCCAGGCTTACCCTGAACGGGCCAGAGGAGTGCTACCTCATGGAGGGCGTTCCTCCACAGCAGGAAAGCCAGCCTAGCACAGCATGCGAACCCACCAAACTCCAGACTCCCGCCACCAAGTCAGTGCTGACTCACAGCGACCCTACAGGACAGGGCAGAACTGCCCCTGTGTGCTTCTGAGGCTGTAACTCTTTACAGAAGTAGAAAGCTGAGTCTTTCTCTTCTGTGAACAGAGGGGAGGGGGAAACCCAGGGCAGTCAGGGGCCCTTCATAGGAGGCTGACAGACCCCCCACTCCCCTGCTGCCATACCCCTGGCCCGGAGACTTGGGGCCCTTCTGCAGGGCAGCGGGGTTGGGGGCGGGAGCAGCTCCAGGGTGAGGCTGCTAGGACACCGGAGCGCACGAGCAGTCTCCGTGGCTCCCTGGCTGCACACCTGGGCGTAGAAGTACAAGTGCTCTGCCACCGTCAGGTCGTCAAACAGGACATCGTGCTGGGGGCACAGCCCCAAGCTCTCCCGGATCCGAGGCATGTCCTGGGAGATCTCATACCCGCAGATGGACGCATGCCCGCTGCTGGGGGGGAAGAGGCCTAGGACCAAGCAGACACAGGCCCTTTGCTGACACAAGGACCCTACCCACCCGTGAGCTGTCGGTCGGCCTCCCCGATCTAGTGCTGTGTGGCACCTGCAGCTGGGGCTGGGGGAGAGAAGAGGGATGTGGGGAAGGTCCAGATCCCCTTAGAGGAGCTTGTGGGGAGGGCAGACATGCTACTAGCCAGCCTGTGTGGGGGGAGGAGCCGTGCTCTCCGCGCCCAGCCTCTGTGACAGTGCAGAAGGAGCAGGACATACAGGGTGCCACATGGGGGCAGCTGGGCACCTCAGGTCTCTGTGAAGAGGACCTGTTTCTGTCTGGCATGAGAAGCACCTTGTTTGCTCTGAATTGTCTGAGTGGGGGCCTTTCCCCAGGGGGCTGCAGGGAGGCGACTGTGCTGCAGGGTGGGAGAGCATGCCTCTCTTTCCTGCAGTCTAACAGAAGGGCCTGGGCGGGGGGTGGGGGGGGTGGCAAGAGGCCTGCCAGAACAGACAGGACGGGGACAGTGTCCTGGGCCCAGCTCACCTGTGAGCAAGTACAGGGTGGCGACTGGTCTCCCTGGCCCAGCACACCCATGGACAGGACCGGGCAGACTGCCTGACCTGGCTCACCTGTGAGCACATATAGGGCAGTGAATGGTCTCCCGGCTCACCCGTGAGCATGGACAGAGTGGTGGTCTTCCCAGCACCATTGTGCCCCAGCAAGACGGTGATCTGGCCTTCATACAGGTTCAGGTTCAAATCCTTGACGGCTGTCTTGCCCTTACTCCCGACTCTGTACACCTGCAGGAGGTAGAGGACCACCTTGTACTACCCAGGGACTGGGCACACTTCACCCCACCAGCACTCCCTCTAGGCAGGCAGACCAGTGCCCAGGAGGCTCGGACTCAGTTGAGAGATGGCTCAGAGGGTGAGGGGGGGTGGGTCCCTAGTTACACCTGGCTCCTTCCTGTGCCACAGCCTGCAGGTGCAGGAGGCCCAGGCCCTGGGACTGAGGGAGGTGCCTGGCAGGGAGCCGGTTGAGTGGGACAGTGCCCGTAGTATGGGTACAGGCACTGGGGTGCCACATGCTCTGGAAGAGGGTCTGAGAGTGGGAGGACTCTTGCCAGCAGGGGAGTGCACTGCCCAGCGCTGCAGCCTCGGCCCTGAGTGTCGGACAGGGAGGTGGCACCTTGGACAAATGCTTGATCTTGATCCCAGCCACCAGGTCTTCAGGCTCGGCTTCGAAGAACTCCGACCTGAGTGCTTTCTCCGGGTCTTTGTCCTCATCCTCTTTGGCTAGGGCGGTCCTGGGGCTGCCGCACCAGTAGGAAGGCTAGGATGGAGACAGGTGGCCACTAGTGCCTGCTGGGACGTACGCTCCAGGGTCCCCACTCCCCGCACCAGGCAGCGCCATCAGAACTCACCAGGAGGAAAAAGTACCAGGGCTGGGGCACCCCGAACTGGCCCGGGAAGACGGCCTCCACGTACCAGGCCACCAGGCCGTAGAGGACAGAGTCCAGAAGTAGCATGCCCAGCACCTGCCCGAATGAGAAGTCGTCGTCCACATTGACCGGAGTCAGGAGGTCGCGCCACTGTAGGCCAGTGCCTGGAAGACACATGGGGCGACGGTGGGGTGGGTGGCCTTGGCAGAGGGCGTGAGTTCATGTGAGGGCAGGCTGCCACGCCAAGGGCAGCTTGGCTCTCCCATCCGATTGTTTGGCATCTCTGTAAGCGCCTTCCAGTCTTTGGGGCAAGAGTTTTACAACCATTAACTCACTGTGTGTGCGCACACGCACGACTGAGGCTACAGCTGACATTGCACCGAAGTGCACCCAGTAGAACTCTGCAAACAGGAGTATTCCGGACGTGTTGGAAGCAGAAAGAACAGAGCATCACCGGTTTGTCACTGTCCCGCCCGCCTGGGAGCTGGCCCCAGAGTCCCCGCTGCTGCCTGACCCGGCTGGACTCAGCGGAGGGCCTGAGGGCTCGTCCATTGGAAGACGCTCACTGCACAGCGCTTACAAAAGGGAGTCGGGTTTCATGAGGCCTGGGGCTCAAGCCTCTCTGTGAATGGTGGTTGAGAACGTATTTGGACCCTGGAAGGAGGCTGTTCCTGTGCAGGGGCTACCAATCCTGAGCGACGGTGCCGGTGGCAAATGTCAAAGGTCAAGCACATCTGTCCTGGAAGAAGTACAGCCGGAATGCTCCCTGGAGGCCAGGAGGGTGAGACTGTCTCAGTACTTTGCACATGCTGTCAGGAGACACTAGTCCCTGGAGAAGGACATCATGCTTGGTAAAGTAGAGGGGGCACTGAAAAAGAGGAAGGCCCTGGACTAGATGGAGGGATGCCGTGGCTGTGACCATGAGCTCCCACATGAACCCCCCGTGAGGCTGGCGCAGGAGCAGGAGCGGGTGGGGTTTCGCTCAGTTGTACGTCAGGTTGCTATGAGTCGAAACCGGCTGGGTGGCACCTAACACCAACCCATTACAGACATGCTTCTAAACACAGAAATATGAGGTGGCTTTTCAAGAGCTGTGGGATAATTCCACACTCCAGACTGCCCTCCCTTTCTCTTGCAGAGCGACCAGTAGCTTTGAACTGCTGATCTTGTGGCCACTACGCCACCAGGGTGTCTCTCGGGCCCCCCGCACATGTAAACTATGTTGGCTGTGGTAGCATTTGAACAGGTGTGAAACACTGCAGGGTGGCCCAAATGGGACAGAGGCAGGAAGTAAACCCATGTTGGCACTGCTACACTTGCTCAAGGGTGTGTGCTCGCATGTGTGTGTTGACCACAGACCCCAGATATGCACGGTACAACACATGGTGAGCCTGCACGCTCACCAGAGACCGCGTTGAAAACCTAGAGGCGGGAAGAGAGTGGCTTGTGCGCTCTTGAACCCTGGCAATAGGCAGGCAGATGCTGATGGATTTCCGGGGTACCTCCAGGAGCCTGCTGTGTGGGCCTGCCACCACTTGGACATGCCTGGGGATCCCCAGGTTGGCGGGGGCCTCCTTGCTGGTGGTGAGGAGCAAGGGCGCTCACCTTTGGCTTCGAACTTGCCGATGAGCTGGGCGCCCATGGCCATGGCCACGTTGGAGAGGAGGCAGGAGAGCAGCTTCTGGCTGAGGGCCATCCAGTTGTAGCGGGGCGCCACGAAGAAGTAGGGGATGTAGGTGAAGAAGTAGAGGAAGCCGCCAATGGCCGCCGCCATGTTGGCTGCAGGTGGGTTGTGGGGAGAAGGGCAGGCGTGGTACAGAAGGGATCTAGCCTGGACCAGCTGCCCCGGCCCTCCCCTTGCCTCCTGGCCACCTCCTGTGCCCCTGTGCAGGAGACCCTGTGGTGGTCTCTCGAGCCCTAGCCTGGACACCATGTCCAGCAGCCCCTTTGATGCCGGTGAGTTGTACAGAGGCCACTGTGCCCCTCTTGGCTTCAGGAGCTGTGTCAGGGGCCTGGGAGCAACGGGGGGCATGGGTGACTGACCTTTGCTGAAGAAGGTGCTGACCATGAAGCTGAAGGAGATGGAGGAGATGGAGAAGCACAGCAGGAAGACCAGCACCAGGGACGGGTCGCTGTGGGTCAGCACCGCCACGTCCTTCTTCACCTGTCAGACGCCCATGGGTCAGCTGCACTGACAGCCTGGTGGGCCAGCGTGTGGGTGGGGAGCAGCAGGGTGCATGCAAATGCCCCGCCCCCAGTCACATGGGACGCAGAGGTGGACAGGAGGCTCCTGCTGCCCTCAGCAATGCCCAGGGTGGCCCCCACCACCTCAACCAGCACCATGAGGGTGCAGGTGCTCCCTTGACACAGAAGCCAGATGCTTGCCTTGACACAGAAGAGCAGGGTCATGAAAGCGCTGGCGATGAGGAGGAGGAGGAAGGCCATGATGAACCAGGCGCTCCAGTGCAGCCAGCTGCTCAGCCCCATCATGCGCATGTACTCCTGGGGGGGGGGGGGGGGGCGCACATCACAGGCCAGCCAAGGTGGCTGGCGAGAACCAGGCCAGAAGTGGCAGGACAGCCAGGTGGTGGACAGAGGCAGACCCCAGTCTGACCGCCCCATGGCTCAGCTGGCGAGGAGGAGCCTGGGCACACCCACAAGGACAGCCTCACTCGGTGCCCAGCAGAGGCCCCCCCCACTGGGACATCGCACAGCAGCACAACCAATTTTGCAGAATGTTCTTTGTTGTTGCGATTGCGTGCCCAAGACTGTACTTCGCTCGCTAGGTGATGAGACCAGTCTTCCGGGGCTCGGCCTTATGCGGTGAGCAATCCTACCAGAGAAGCACGCATTCCTTAAGACAGCGGCGCTTGCCCAGGGAGAAGGCTCGGAAGGCGGGCAGGGAGGCGAAAGGACACAGAGAAGGCCAAGGAGGAGGAATGGGGCCACGCTGCGGGATTGTAACCGATGGCACAAACAGAATGCGTATGAATTGCCGGACGGAAAACCAACTTGCTCTGTAAACTTTCACCCAAATCCCAAGAACAGGTTAGAACAAACCAGAAAGCACAACACACGAAAAAAGACGAGGGAACCAGTCAGATGTGAGAACCGGCTCCCAGGACGGTTTCGGAGGCTGCTGGAGTCGGTGCAGTCTCCCTGGGAGGGTCGGTTCGCGTCTCCATGGTCAAGATTCAGCTGAGTAAATCCATTTTCTCTGATCCATTGGGGAAAAGAGCTCCAAGGAGCCCTGGTGGCCCCATGGTTAAGCGCTCGGCTGCTAACTGCAAGGCTGAAGTTCGAACTCACGCAGCAGCTCCTCGGGAGAAAAATCTGGTGATTTGCTCCCCAAAAGATTAGCTAATTAAAACGAAACAAACAAAAACCCAACCCAAGCCCAATGCTGTCACGTTGGTCATGCCGCACGGTGACCCAATAGGGCAGAGCAGCACTGCTGCACTGGGTTTCCAAGGCGGGCATCTACAGAGACCGACGCCACATCTTTCTCCCAAGAGCAGCTGGTGGGCTCAAACTGCTGACCTTCCGAGTATCAGCTGAGCATCCAACCACTATATAGCCAGGCTCCCTGCCTGCCAAGATGACAGGCAAGAAGGCCTACGGGGCAGCGCTGCTCTGTCACTGGGGCCCTAAGGAGTCAGAATCAACTCGACGGCACCAGCAACGAGTGCTCACGGCGACAAGGATGGAGACAGTCTGGGCCCCCACCGAGACCTGCCACCACGTCTTTGCTCGCTCTCCCGAAGGCTCACCTTGAGTTTCCTCTCCTTCTCCCGCACGACAGCCCGGATGATGCTGAGTGAGGTGTAGGTGAAGCTCAGCATGAGCAGCAGGGGGAGCTGGTACTGGATGGCAACCAGGAAGGGATCCGAGATGAACGGTGGGTACGGGAACCTCTTTGCGATCACGGTGACCTTCTCCAGCAGCTGGTGCGCAGAGGTGTTGGCATGGTACTGCATGATGGCTCTGTCCACGGCGTGCTGCACCGCCAGGAAGCCTTCCCGGATGTAGCCTGTGTTGCAAAGCAAAGGTCAAACACCTGAGGAACCATGTGCGGAGTGGCACACAGGGTCCTCTGGAGAGGGCCACAACGGATGGCCGCCTGTGGCAGTAGGTGGTGTCCTCGACTGTCCCTTCCCTTCTCCAAAGGACACCCATCAGAGTCCAGCCGTGACAGCCAGAGAAGCAGAGCTCCTGTTGCGTCCACTCGCACCCTTGAGGTGAACTGGGCTGGACAGGGCCTTCTTGCCCTGAATAGGATTGGTGGGATTGCTCAGGGTAGGAGCACACTAGGTTAGGTGGGGGTGGGAGTGGAAGGCAGGGATGAATGAGCAACGGGTCACCATTTCTAGTGAGAGGTGATGGGGGTGGGAAAAGGGATCACCGAGAGACCGTGCCTCTGCGGGGTCGGGACGGGAGGGAAGGGGGCTCAGGCAGCAAGAAGGCCTTGGTCAGCAAGGCAGCTTTTTGGTGCTGCTGTAACAAATGATCTCGCTCAGTGAGTGAAAACAACAGGGATTATCCTGCAGGTCAGCAGGTGATGCGTCTGTCCTACATTTCAGGTCCATGGCCATCCAGTCCTCTGTACCCTGCGGACCAAGGTGCGACCGCCCAGGCTGTCCTCCTGGCAGAAGCGGACGGTGTGTCTTTCCCTCGGGGCCGCTGGTGGGTTCGGACCACTGACTTTTCAGTTAGCAGCCACCAGGGCTCCCGATGTCGGTCTCATTCCTTCTGGAGACTCCAGGGGAACATGCATTTCTTGCCTCTTCGAGCTTCCAGAGGCTGCTGCGTCCCTTGGCCCATGGCCCCTTTCTTGCGTCCCTTGGCCCATGGCCCCTTTCTTGACTGGCAATGCCAGGCGCCTTCCTCTGCATCACACGTCCCCTGGTGGTTACAGGGGGTTACGTACGCGGTGGCCAACTGAGCAGTCACTGGTTGGAGCCCACCAGCTGCTCCAGAGGGGAACGCTGCCTGCTTCCCTTAAAATGACAGCCTTGGGGATTCTGTGGGGGCATCCACGCTTCCTGGGGGGCCGCTGGGAAGGAGAATGAAGTAGACAATCAGGTAGCAAGGAGGGTGTGCTTGGCTGGTGGCCACCCTGGTCATCCAGGAAACCTCCCTGTGGTAAGGTCATCCGAGGGGCACCCTCAGTTCCATCTGCAAGCTACTCGGTCCTTTGCCATGCAACGGGCACACGCACAGGTTACGAGGGGCAACAGGCGAACACAGAGCTGTGGTCATTCGGTGCCAGTGAACCGGTTCCAGCTCACAGTGACCCTGAGTGCGACAGTGACACATGCTGGCCCCACCCCCTCCTCACCATTGCTCACGTGTGTGAGCCCACTGCCGCAGCTACCGGGTCCATCGCCGCCCCCCGCCCCCTGAGAACTTTCTTTTTTTCACTGAAGCTCCACATGACGAAGCGTGATGTCTTTTTCCCGGGGCTGGTCCTGCTTCTCAGATGATTTGCTCAGCAAATACACTGACGATGGCCTTGATGCACCCTGCTTTTCCCAACCACCCCCCACAGCCACCTCGGTTCTGGGGCACGACTGTCTCTTGGCCGGTGAACAGGTTCTGTGTACAGGAGCGTGACGACGCGCTCTACAATTCCCATTCTTCTCAGCGCGGTCCAGGTTGTCGTGACCGACTGTCTCGTGAACAGACAACAGACTCTTCTAGTGGAGAGGGCCTGCGTGCTGGCTTTTAGAGCAGGGAGGAGTGGTAACCTGGGGACAGGCCCCCCCAATCCTGAGTGAGGCTTGGGAAGACTGAACCCGAGGAACAAGTGGGGCGTGGCATGGGGTCAGCTGTGGCTGAGTCAAATCTGACTCAGGGTGGCCCGTAGGCAGCAGGCCTGGCCTCCAGCAAGCCCCTAGGCGAGGGTGAGCACACTGTCCAGTGTACAACCGAGCGTGTCGCCCAGGGAGCAGAGGTAGCCTGGGTCCCTGAACCTGATCCCCTGAAGACTCCGGGTGCAGGTGTGGGAGTGTGAGAGTGGCTGCCCTTCATCCCCACTGCTCCGCCTGCCCCTTACCAGGCTCCCCGCCATCTGCAGCCGCGGGCTCCCTGGGGCCCAGGGTTGGGAAGAGCGGGAACAGGGAGGTGGTGTGCCAGCCCTGTGTCTCCTTCAAGAAGAAGGAGCCTGCCTTGGTCCACATGTAGTTCCTTCGAGTGTAGCTGAAGCGCAGGTGGTACCTCACCTACAAAGAGGAAACAGGGTGTGAGGGGGGCTCACCAAGGTGAACATGCTCCTCCCCTCCTCGTTCCTCCCACCCCATGTGTCCAGGAGGCTTGGCATGTCCGCATGGACCCAGGGTGGGCACCAGGAGCCCCACACAGGCACCCCTAGGACGGAGAGGGGTGTCTCTGAGCAGTTCTCTCAGCCACTTGCATGGTAGGTCCTCCATAATCCCCCACTGGAACCCCTGGTGGGTTGCCAAGACCATTCTAGAAGGACTTGACTGTTTCCCAGAGAAAACCCTTGCCTTTCTCATCCCTCCTGCACGTCCACCTTTCTTGTTCATACAAAACCAGAGCCTGAATGCCCCATTCTCCTCAGGTTTCTGCTCCTTCCTCTCCGTGCCCTGACCCCACATACAGAGGCTTTACCTTTGCCCAAATGCAAGCACCAGGTGACTTCCCAACCTGCTGGGGCCCTGCCACCTGGGCCCTGGGGGCGAGTCTCAGATCTGTCTGCTAGTGGGTAGACGTTTCTGGGGCAGGGTGGTCGCTTCCATCAGCAGCACCAGCAAGGAGGGGAGACGCTCACCGCCAGCGGCAGGGGGTCCCGGCTGTGGTTGAAGGCATGCTCAAACACCACGGCGGCCAGCACGCTGGAGGAGCCGTTGTCATACTTGATGTAGTCCTCGAAGTCCCTCTCCGAGGGGAAGCCCCGGACTGTGGGGAGAACGAACCACCGCACAGGGCTGTTGGCAGGTCACAGACCACCCTCTCTGAGCTGCTGGAGGTCCTGTCCCAGGCACGGTGGGACTGGACCTCTGTGACCTCTGAACCTCTGTGACCTCTGGACCTCTGTTTTTCTCAGCTGGTTTTGAAGCTGACACCCGGCTTTCCTTCCCGGTCTTTCGCTGGCTGCAAGATTCGCTGAAACACTCTCAGCCTCATGGCAACACTCATGTCTGCTGGGATGCGGGGTGGGGATGCAACTGTGGTCTCCCACGGGGAAGGCGAGAATCCAACGACGGGGACACCGGGACCCTGACAAACGCCCCTGCTTTAGTGTTGACCCAACTGACAGAGACCCCACCTGGCACAGAATAGGAGCTTTGGGACTGTTTTTTAAGCAGCCCTCGTGGTGTAGTGGTTACGAGTTGGGCTTCGATTCACAAGGTCCACAGTTTGAAACCCCCAGTTGCTCTGTGGGAGACAGACGGGGCTCTCCACTCCTTGCTACGGTGACAGACAGTCTTGGAAACTCACAGGGGCGGTTCTACCCTCTCCTACAGGGTTGCTGTGAGTTGGCATTGACTGTGAGTTTGGGTTTCTGAGTGTTTGGACCTACCAACCGCTCCCTGGGTGAGAGGTGGGGCGGTCTGCTCCCATCCGGGTTCACAGCTCTGGAAGCCCCAAGGGTAGAGCAAATCTACTCTGGCCTGTCGGGCTGTTGAGAGTTGGAATCAACCCCAGGGTGCTGGTTTGGGGCTCTCAGTCTTGATGGCAGCCCATCGCCAGGCCTTTCTTCCGTGGCACAGCTGGGTGGATGTGATGCTCCAACTTCCCAGCACGCAGCTGGTTGCTAACACTTGCGTGCACTCACTACCCAGGGGAGTTTCCCCAGGCTTCTGTAAGCCTTTCCTCAGTTACATGTGAGTTTCCGTGCTGGGTGCACACAGCTCCACCAGGGCCAGCCACGGGGCAGCGGCTTCCTGCTGGCACCCGTAAGGGGTTGGACAAACCCACAGCCCTCCTCCGGGCAGGAAGCCACCTGGCCGGGTTCTGCAGCACGGGTCAGCATGCCTACCTCGTCACCACAATGAGGTGCTTTAAAACCTCAGTGGATGCTCCTCTCTCTGAGGTCCTTGCCACGGCCCAGGTCCCTTTTCACGGCAAGGCTTGACTGGGATCGTAGAGTGAGGGACCGGACTGTTTGCTAAACTGAATGGCACAGCCCTCGGGGAAGTGCTGCCAAAGCAAAAGGCAGGGAGGGGAGGAGGACAGTAGTTTTTAAATTTTACTTTATTAAAAAAAAACGTTTTAGGCTGAATGGAAAGAGCTAGGAAGTTTCTCGCAGTGGGCTTGCGTCTTCTTACATGCCCTCTTGACTGGCACTCAGGTCTCTTCTTCACCCCAAAACTCAGCTCCCCGTCCTCGAGTCAGTTCTGGCTCGTGGTGACCCTATAGGAGGAGGCAGAACTGCCCCATGGGCCTCTGGGACTGCAGACCTGCCCTGGGGCAGACAGCCTCATCTTCCTCCCACAGAGCCGCTGATGGCTTTGAACAGCTAATCAAGAAGTTAGCAGCCCAAGGCATAACCCACTATATCACCGGGGTCCTTTTTTTTAAATACATAAATTAAGCCCTAAAATGGCTTAATTAAAGAAAACAGAAATTTGGTTTTGAGGTTGCTGTTGGGCAGACACACAGAACATACACCTTTTCAACTGTGTCTACATGGGCAGTGCAGCCACACTAGTGGCATTCCTGCAGCTGTGCGGCCATTCCCACCCTCCCCCTCTGAGCTGCTCCTCCCTCAGGGACATAAACTGCTGCCCCCCTAAGCTCCCATATAACCTTTCAAGTTGCCGTGGTCCATTTGATCCCCGTTAGGCCGTCCTTAAAAAAGCACAATGCTCAAGGCAGGCCTTCTTTAAAAAAATGAGTTAAGCTAAACTATTTAAGCCCTGGTGGTGGTGTGGGTTACACATTAGGCTGCAAACCTCAAGGTCAACAGTTCAAGCCCACCAACAGTTCCGAGGGAGAAAGATGAGGCTGTCTGCATCTGTACGGCTTGGCCGACTCAGAAACCTACAGGGGCAGCCCCACCCTGTCTGTCCTACAGGATCTCTAGGAGTCAGAACTGACTTCATGGAAGTGGGCTTGTTTGTTTTCAAGCTAAGCTGTTATTTGACTTTTAGCAGATTTAACTGACTGCCTCTGGGTTGACTGACTCATAGTGACCCTCTAAGGCAGGGTAGGACGGCCTCTGTGGGTTTCTGAGACTGTACCTCTGTACAGCAGGTAGAAAGTCTCGTCTTTCTCCGGTGGAGTGTCTTGTGGTTTTGCACTGCTGATCTTGGGGTTAGCAGTCAAACTTGTGACTGCTGTGCTCCGGGCTCCTCTTTAGAAGCCATAGGAGCAGGGATGTTTGTTCGTGGCTGAGAAGACACACACTAATTGCACGCACAGTTCCCACAGGGATGTTTCAGCAGCCACCCTCGTGTGCCTACTGAGTTGTCCCTCTCCCACCAGCTGATGCCCTGAGGCCCCATCGATGCTCAAAGTCCAAAGCGAGCCCTTACAGGCAGTTCATTTCAGAGCTGCCCCAGTGGGGAACCCCAGCCTGGCTGAGGCTCCCTGTGATTTCTGCTAGACTGTGATCAGGCTTTGTGTTTACAGCATTTGGCCCCTCGGTTATCCAAAGGGCACCCTCTCTTCACTGAGCTGGGTGTTGCCGAAGCATCACCCTGTTTATTGTCCACTGGTCCCTGATGACATGGGATCCATGGTGGCCGGGATCTCACCCCCATCCAGACACTGAGAAGCCCCGGGACCTATCCAGGATGACCCAGTACCCAAGACAAG